AACTCAGCTCCAGTTGGACAGTGACACAACTCAAGAGACCATCAGATCTTTGGAGGATTCTTTAAGGGAGGAGAAGAGAAGGAAGGAAGATGCTGAGCAAGAGTTATTGAAACACAAGCAGGTTTGTACTTTAACTTTGGTCAGCCATTGCTGCTCATTCTGAGCAATGGAAATATCTCTCATTTCTATTTCTACTTTTCTAGAGCCCTCAAAACAGTTGTAGTAACCGTCAGTCTCTTTCAGGAGAAATGAACATTTGATGGCTGCCTGGTATTCGCTCTGGACTGCTCGCCACCATTCCCAACCATCCTGGGGAACATTTGGTCTAGGATGTAATAATATTCAACTCTGAAGGAACATCCATGTCAAACAAACAAACAGTATTTTATATTGTGTGTTAATTCTTTGAAGTCACTAGTGTTTTGAACATGAAAAAACATTATCTTATTTCAGTGTTGACCTCCTTCAGTTGTAGAATGACTATGGCTCATCACATTCAACACTTTTTTTCATGTGCCCATGGAGCTCTATTCTTGAGATATTCCTGTCCATATATAAGGCACATTAATGTTGCATTTGCTTTGGTGGTAGATGAGCCAGCTATTTTTTTGGCATACTTTTCTTCCAGAGCTGAGGACAATGCTTTTTTGCTGTCTAAAGCTTTCTTTACTTATTTTGTCTCTGAAACTAACACTTTTAAATTTCACCAGGAACTTCAGTACACCACAGAAGAATTGTACAAACAAAAAACAGCATTTCAGTCAAGAATTTCTGACAGAGAGACAGAAATAGAAAAATTAAGAAATCAGGTCAGCTAATAAAGATTCTAGTTATTGCATAAAAAAAATGGTGCTCTAAATTTTTTTAAAGAACATGTATCTTTCAAGCCTATGGTAATACAATATGTTTGCAATCTGGATTATTTGTAGTTAATGACTAAAAGCATGAGCACCAGTACTGAGAATGAGCTTGAATCTCGTGTCCGTGCTCTAACAGAGAGCCTCATTCAGAAACAGACTGTATTGGAGGCCCTAAGCACCGAGAAGAACTCTTTAGTTTTACAGTTGGAGAGAATGGAGGTAATTCTTTGAATTATGTATTTTTTTTAAACATGAAAGAACTTTACTAAAACATTTTCAATTCATTACTTATATGCTAGCCATATACTTCTGAGTTGATGCTAAATTAGCTGTTTTACCCTCCAGCATCAATACAGAGAATTGGAAAATGCTGCACCCAGAACTACAACAACTACACAACTGGTGGCTGTCAGTGACCATGATGATGAAGGTAGACGTCTCTTGAACTGTACATAGAAATATCAACAAACTAAAACACTGGCTTCAATTTCATATCTAATTATTTCTGTTGACACTTTTTCATTTAATTTTTTTTTAAAAATTGCCCTAATTTTGTCTTCCCAAGAGAATAACAATTATATTTTTAAAATGTATTCATTGATGTTAATGTATGAATGACTGTCTGTATCAATGTGTTATTTTGTGTGTTATTGTGATGAATATCTGTATACAACTTGTATTTGTAATGATAGAACTAGTTTCCTGAAAAGTTGGTATCAATTTGCAACCTTATGTTTGTTGTTTTTTTTTTCATTATGAGTGTGTCAGGGAGGTGAAAGCAAAAGCCTGTTGTTAATTTCTGCTAAAAACTGCTTGATATTTTCTTAACAGTGAAACAAAGATTGCCAATGTTCTTGAGAGAAGTTCCTACAGACCATGAAGTCACAAGAAGAATGAAACGAGCAGCAAACTCTATCGATGGATTTAGGTACAATATTGGGGGGAAACATGTAAAACAAACTATATATCTCGTACAGACTACATATTGTTTTGTTTAAGCTTTTAATGTGCCATATTTTCTTTCTCATATTGATGTGTTTCATTCTTTTTTTTCTTCTTAACTTAGCATACGTTTAGGAGTCTTCCTTCGACGGTACCCAATGGCCAGAGTTTTTGTGATTCTTTACATGGTAGGTATTCAGTTCATTTATCTCAATGAGCTAAAAGTAGTAGTTCTATGCATCATTTGTCTGTATAAATAGTCAATTTGGGGGGGGGGGGGGGGGGGGAACTGGGTGGTATAGCAATTGGATGGTAAAAAAAAAATTGCTGATGGAATACTTTAAAGTGTTGGAGAAAGGAGGCACCACGGGCATGACACCACTAGTCAAAATTGTTTTCTCATCTTCAATTTTCAACTATGGGATACTTTACAAATGTATGTTTTAATGTCATTAGAATTGAAGTGAAAACACAACCTTTAGTTTCTCAATGAATGATTTATTCCTTTGGTTTGACTTACACAATTTAATTTTGTACAGACTTTGAAGCAGGAGACGCTCTTGGGGAATGGCCTTCAAAATTGGATTTAAATTTTGGTGAAGACTGGAATTTTGAACTTCAGGACTTTTAGGACGGCCCTGAGTCCACCCAGCTTTATAGTACCTGTCTTTAGTTAGGGAAACTAAAGGTAGTTGGTTGTGTTGGTCCCATGATGCCCTCGTTAACTGTCAGCCATAGAACAAATGACCTTTACAGACATCATGTAGATAGCCAGTTCTGAAAGGGCTACTTAAATATACTTTTTTTTTTATCATTAAAAATCAGTAATTGCTAATCGCAGAAGGGTACTAACAAAAACATTCTTTTCAGGCTCTTCTCCATCTGTGGGTTCTGATTGTGATGATGACCTATCAACCAGAGATGCATGGGCTAGACTACCAGCCTCAGGCTCCCAAAGGAGGGGAATAACTAAACCTTCAGAGGATGCAACTGCCACGTGATGTATGGCTCAGATTCAGACCTTTCAGGCAACTTTGGGTATAAATAAATGTTGAACAGGTGTTCCTGAGAAGAAGAAAAGCATGGTTCTGATGTTGACAATGTAACCATATGTGCTGTTTTTTTCTTATGTTTCCTCCTTCCTTACCCCAGCTGACTCTTATGTCATTCAACAGTGCTTTGGTCTAATTTGTATAGATTGGAACTCCAAGAGAACATGAGATTCAGGATTGGGTTAGTGGTGAGGGATAAGACAAAGTTTGTTGTTTGATCACTTGAACATGTACAGGTCATCTGGATTTTTTTTCATGTTTTAGTTCATAAACACTTTTTTTTAACTATGAACTGTGAAAAGCAGCTCTTTTTTTTTTTTTTTAACTATATGTGTAATTTACACCAGACCTTGACCTTAATACAATTTTTCTTACTTTTTTGAGCTACAACCTGATAAAATAAAACCTTCTAGTAGATGTTAATAATGTTTATACCTGTTTGTGAATATGTGCATCTAATACATAGAGTAGTTATGTTCCCATACACTTGATTTGTTACAAGAAATATTCATAATTTTATTTCATCTTGGCTTGAGTTTAATTTGTTATATATGTATATTTTTTTGTTTGTTATTCTCTCATATCAGACTGACCAATGAATTATGTCATGTTCTATGATCATCTTTAGCTATAATGTAAATAACATGCAGATTTGATCCTTGGCTCCCGTGGTTCTGAGCAATACAAGTAGTTGAATTGAATAATAGGTACCTTTTCCTTATCTTACAATGTACCGCCACTGTCTATTCGAACGTCATCAATGCAAACAACACATATTTAACTACTTTACTCTTTGAGCTCTTAATTACAAATAAATGAAATTTCACAAATTTACATTGATCATTCACAAATGAGATTGATTTTCATGAGAAACTAAATGGAACTTCACTGTAACTAAAAAAAATAATTTTTTTTTAAAGTACAGCTACAATTTTTAAAATGTTCCCATGTATAGCGGTTGATCATTCATATCAACTTTCCCTACTTACCACTAGTTAGTTGCCCATTTGTTTTCAAATAGATGTCAAGTCATACAATGAAAACCTAATGCTCTATCCATATAGAAATTATTTTTTGCTTAAAAATGGAGGAACTTAAAAAATTTGATTCTGCTGTGATAAAAAGTACAAAAATAATTCATACTTTTAATAACATTAGTTACTGTACACTTAATTTATTTTGTACACCAGATATATCAAAGTTTTTAACGAAATGGTTTTTTGTTAAAGTGTATTGAAATAGTGTCTAAAAAGCTTGTGCAACTTAGAATTTTCAACTTTTGAACATGATTAGTTAACTTATGAATGGAATGCTTTTGAATTCTAGTAAAGGCTAGGATGTTCTGTATGGCATTGTCCCACCCAGCTTTAAGAGGAACCTGACATTTGCACTGAAAAGTAACCTTGGAGCGAACAGATTTGTCTTACTAGGAAATTTTTCTTTCAAGAATTTGCACATACAAATCTATACATACATGACTTTCAACAACCTATCACATCTGGGCAGTGATGTAAATACATTGTATTATTTGAGGTCGTATTTGTTACTGTGATAATATTAAACAAAAACTGTCTTTGACTCTTAGCATGCTTAGTGTTGCTAAAGCAACAGACATTTTTTTTTTTTTTTAAGCTTATTTTGATTGCAATAAGATGCAAAGGAAAATAATTGTTTATGTTTTGTCAAACTAATCTCTGCCAATGTTATATGCATAGATTTGTAATGCTGTGGGAATAACTTCAATAAAAGTTTATTCATTCTTTATTTTGTTCACTACAATTTATTCAAGTCATCTAAGGTGTTGTTTGAATTAATTGTGTACATTAATTAGTCTAATAAACATTCAATTAGTAAAGAAATAAAAATTTAGTACAATAGGTTTCCACAGTTAGAATCATGATAGTAAAAGTCTGGTACTGATATTTGTTAAAGAGAATTTTAACTTAAGTCTATTCACCCACAGAATGCTGAATGCTTTGTAGGCTAAAAGTCTTGTTAACATATTATATTTTTTTTTTATTCGGTCTTATCATAACTCTTAACATGCTCATAACATGCTCTTGACTTTTCCGACTATACTTTAGAAAGGACAAAAAATCTTGTTTCCAGTGGTACAGATTAAAAAAAAAAAAAATGTAAATCATGAATTCATTTAAAAAAATCACATTTATTTAATTTCAAATTATCACATAAATAAAGTCTTATAGCAGTCCAAAGCATGAATTGATGGTTAAGGTATCTATACATTGTAGATTATTGCAGTGTAACCCACTTTTGAATCATACCTCAACTCATAAAGTTGATCCTTGAACATTTCTGTATTCAAGTCAGACCACCAATGAACTATTGAAGGCAAGTTGCCCATCAATAACAAAATTTTGAAGGGAAAAATTGTAAAATATTTTTATGATACACATATACTGATTAAAAACTACTAATCTGCTTCATATTGAGACAAAATATATAGAAAAAATAGTTAAATCAATTTCAAACTTATGAACTCCATCAAAGACAATAAATAGCAATGGCTAGAATATCTACACAAATGGACAGCTCATAGAATGTTAAATATTACAAAATATCTTTGACTCTTTAAGCATCAGTTCTAATATTCTATTGATAAAGTTTATCCTTGACTAGCCTAGTGAAAAAAAAGGTGTCCTCAACGTTACGTTGGTGATGGCTACAGAGTAGAGAATAGAACAAGTTTAAACATTGAAAATACATTTATAAAGAATCTGAAACTTCATACATACTTTTGTACTTCATGTTTACACTCCATACTCAGACACTGAAATCTAATACTTAATGTCTTTATAATAACTTAAGAGTTGAACAAATACAATGTGGCTGTATATTTTCTGTGTACCAATTATTTCATAGTAGTGATTAGTCTTTACTTTTTTATTCTTCGGATATTTAATTATTTTAAATTAAATGAATTAAAAAAGAAAGCTGCATTGAACATTTGTATCTGTAACCAATTCATATCATTTGTCAATTATTTGACAAGCTATTTAATAAAACAGTGATGTCAATATAAATAACAACCCAATATTTCCATTCACTAAAAACAATCTACATAAGTGACTGAGATTTTTTTTTTATGTCTGTACCAGTACTATAAAATACTACATAGGAAACAAAAAAATGTACAGCACTGGTTTTTTTTGTAACTTAAAGTTTGAGAGGTTGAGTTAAACTATGTCCATCTAATTTAAATTAAGTTGAATAAAACAGATAATTAAGACCTAAACAAGTAATGAAATGTGCACATTATAAACTTCTTTCAATAATTGTGCCCACACAGTGACTGAAGACTCACACTGTCACTTTCAAAGTGGGAAAGGAAGAAAATTTATTAAAAAAAAACAAAAAAACCAACACAATGCAAGGTCATTATAAAATGATCTGAACATAACATGGACATTACTTCAAGAAGGAACTTTTTTTTTAAAATCTCGACTTATCTCTCCCCCCCCCCCCCTCCCTCTAATAATAAAAACAAAACTACACAATTTTAAGACAATTTAGGGAGTCTCAACATGAACCAAAGTGGAAAAGAAAAAATAGTCAGTGATTGTTCGGGAACCATTTAACCTTTGACTGTTAGATACAGAATGAAATGAAGTGAACTGAATAATGACTGATTTTCAACACAAGTCAGGCTCTGCACTCAATTGTTTCTTGACTCTCACCAGCAATGTGGTCAGGAAGGGATCCAGTCGTGATATGCTGTCATATTCTTTTAACACTTCTGTAAACTGGTCCACATTCTCAGCTTCTATGGCCTCCAGTAGTTTCTTTAAAAGAAAACATTTAGCCAACTAAATGAACATGTTTAGTTGAAGTATAACAGGTTGTTTTGTTTCACTTTTGAAAGAAAGCACAAGAGAGAAAATTTTACAGCACTTGTTCGTTTGACACAGATGTATTCTTAATTATAATTTTTGAATAAACTGTGCATATGTTAGGACATGGGTAACTTAGATAAAAGTAAATTTCCCCTTTCAGATCTTGCAATCTATATAGAGAATAATGTAAACGTCACCTGTTTCTGTGGCCCAAGATTAACAAAGGTTTCATGTGGCCAGCACCGCAACCAACCACATTTTCTTTCCTCCAATCCCATAATTAAAATCCCAGTCTTCACTGAGATTCAAACCCAGGACCCCCAGTTCAGAAGCCACATGCTTTACCATTAAGCCTCCGCAACTTTGACTGCATGATCATAAAATCCTTTTACTCTATTTCCACAATCTGTTGCAGAGGTATTTTAATTCAAGTACTTCAATAAATATTGAAAAAAAGTGAATATTTAAATACTGATACTTTTTTGTTTACATATTACTGATAAGTTTTTGTTTGTTTTTAATCTACACCAATCAACCTTAGAAATAATTTTAAATTTAAATAAAAAGGGGTGGGGGGCAAATGATCACTGAGATAGGGTCACCTTGCATTAATGGGTAAAAGTGCATGTTTCTAAAGTTTTGATGTTTGCTCTGTGGCCTAGTCAGATGTAATGATTACCAGCTGTCCCAATGCACCTTCATAAATCAATATTGCTCTGTTCAGCATGTCATATGAGAACTTTTATCAACACACACACACATCAACTAGATCTAATGAAGAAAAAAATAAGTGCCTTCATTTACCTTGACAAGCTTACACTCTCTAGAGTCAGCAAATGCTGGGAACATCTCTTCATATTTTGTCACTGCCAATGTGGCATTAGCTGTATCCATGCACAAATGACAAATTGAGGCCCGAAAAAAGTGATCTTTTGCACTATACTTCAGTAAGGAGTTGTCCATACTAGAGACAGCCACCTGACAGACAGAACACATGGTTATTACATACTTATATTTGTCTTCACTACAGGAGTGCACCATTTAAATAAAAAATTTCTGACTAAATAACTGGTTACCACTGAATTCTTTAGAGACTGTAGTGTAACTGAGCTAGCCAGAAAAACCAGTGACTTGGCAGAATTTAAGTCATTGGTTAATATGCATTACTAAATGCATGACGCGTAGGACGTAATCATCTTCTTTTTTGAAGTAACGTCTGTATTATATAAGATAAGATTAAGAGTTTCATTTTGTGCTGATATTTTTAGTATGTTTTAATAATTTTTTAAGTATTTTAATTAATATTAATATTTCATATGAAATTTTTAAAAAATGAGACATACATCTACCATATTGTTGTGCATATAACCCGCTGGTTAGACAAGTTTTTACAAATGAATGGCAGCTGTGCAGGGTATACAAAGGTGCAGGGTTTACAAAATTTATTTTACTCAAAAGAAAAGTAAAGTTCCCCCTTTCAGATCTTGCGATCTATAGGGCAGATGCTGTTAAGGTCACCCATTTCTTTGGCAAACTGTTAACGAGCAGGGTGTCATGTGGCCAGCATAAGGCCCAAAAGCCTTTACTTTCCCAGCTAAAGTCAAGTACCCATTAGAGTTGAGTGGACTCAGGGGCACCATAAAATTAAAAATCCTAGTTTTCACTGATTTTCAAACCCAGGACCCTAGTTTCAGAAGCCAAGCACTTAACCATTCAGCCACCACACCCCCACTGATAACATAGCATAACGGAAATTATGGACATACCACTGGGACTTTATAACTCCTAAAGTTTGCTGCGTGGTTAAAAAATGTACATTGGAAAGCTTTATGAAGATCTCATTAAAAGAAAACATAAAGTACTGATGCGGCAGAGAATCTTTAGTATACCAGTAATTAATTGTGACAAGTAAGTAAGCAACTACTTAAGTTATTTGCAGATACCGGTAGTGTCAAAATGTATAGACTACAGTGCAATACATCTGCAATCATTTGACAGTCTCACTTATGTCACTGTCCTTGCTATAGTTAGTGAAGCCATAGAAACTTGTATCATATTCACTGAGTTCTTCCAATAAAATAAATTTTCACATGTAGGGTATTTAAAGCAGGTTGTATGTTTTTGTTTTTACTTATTTCTTAATTTGTGCGGGTAATATGGGTATGTGCGCGAAAATACAGTAGTTAATTTAAATATTAAAAGTGAAACTGATAACTGAAGAAAAAACAAACCTGCTCATATATTTCTATGGCTTTTTCATAATTTTCCAATGTGGCAGAGAACTGAGCAACTTTCAGCAAACATTTATTGGCAGAACTGTAAGTTTAAACAAAAAAAAATTTCAATATTGTCATAATAATTTAAATCATTAAAGGTTCATTTCAAAGTTGATAACCTTTAAGCTTAAGGATTGGAAGCAATTATTAGAACAATATCGAAAGGGGTTTTAGTTTTGTAGGAAAATAAAGTGATCCAATTATTTTTCATGTTGAATATCAAAATGTTTTTCCCCAAAATATCAAACACAACCAATTTAAAGATAGAAATGAGTGACAATATAGAAAATTACATACCTATTTGACTCCTCCCCTTTATAGTAATCTGCTGCTTGTTCATAATTTTGAACAGCCTAATAAAATAAATATTAAAACAAAAGTTGTAAAAAAATAATTTCTTTTTAGTAAATTATTTCGATGAAAAAAATAATAATTTACAAAACTAAAATTTGTTCTAAAAAAAGCTATATTATTAGTTTACAAAAAGAATGGGCTCATTTTGTAAGCATACCTTCTCCATGTCTGATAATTCATTTTCATAAATCTCTGCCACAGTTATGTGATGTTTAGCAGCTATATTAAATCTACCCTGTAATGACATGATTTTACTTTTTATTCTGAAAACTGAAAACACAACACTAAAATAATATATTAAATTATAACTACATATATCAACTTATGCATACAAACTTGTGCTTCTATTCCTTTTAATACTAATGTTCTACCAACTTACCATATCTGTATAAATCTCTATGGCTTTGTGTATTGCACTAACAGCAGCTAAAATAAAGTATATTAAACTGTACAAAATCTTTTATGTTATTTGTTAAAAAAAAAAAAGTGAATATTTTATAAACTATTTTTAAGTCCAGCTTACCATTGGCATCAGCTTTTCTATAACAGTTACCGGCTTCAACATAATGTGTGGCCCCTTCATGCTTGCTACCTAGAGCTATCTGAAGCAATGCCGCTTCTTCAAATGCTTTACCTGCCTCTGGAATGAATGAAAGAAATAAACTTAAGACAATAGCTGAAGTTGCAAAAAAATAGAAGATTTTTAAACTATTGGGAAGTTTCTGTAAATAAAATTACAAATGTAAAAGATTGAAAATTAGAATTTAAAAAAAAAATAATTCAGGAAATAAAACAGAAGAAAAGAAATCAGTGATAGTTTCTAGAAATATTTTCAGTACACTATATTCTTATGGTGCTTTCTTTCCACTTAACATTGGAAGACAGTGCTCCTAAAACGTTTTCTTGTAACTGAAATTTGATTAGTCCAAAGCCAGATAGACTAATGTGACAAAATAAAAGATCTATCTAATGTGTGCCTGCCTCATGAAGAATCTTGAACTGTATTATATCTTTTTTTTTTAATGTCCTGAGATGAGTGGCCAAATATCCATTTAGTGGCTTCATGCAAACACTTCAATGCTAAGTTGGGCCTCTCAAGTACCAGAAGGGAGTAAAGAACTAAAGAAAATTGACAAGAGTTCTTTTGGTTAGTCCATTACTCATGGTGTCTCAATTGGGAGTTTAAAGTGATATTTTTGCATTTACAATCTTAGCTAAATTGTACTTTATATTTTTTCTGCTATTTCTAACTCTTTGAATTTGGATGTGACACTACTAGTGAAAAAATGTGAGAATAGACTGACTTACGTGGCCATTTTTTAGCCATTTTAAAGGCATTTGCTGCTCTGACGTACAAATCACATGCGTCCTCTTGTTTGGAACCTCCACCACTAAAAATGTAACGAGTACATATTTTAATGATACCAATAGTTTTTTAATAATCAAAACTTTACTGTAGACATAATATAAATAATCCTAAAGTTTTGGCTACTTATAACATAATTAACAGTTACAATTTTACTTATCAATAAATAATACCTCTACCATTAAAGACATCTATCCAACACATTTCATTTCCACTTGATTATTGTGCAGTAGATCAAGCATCACAGAAATAGGATATATAATAAAATCAAAGCCCTCACTGACTCATCACAAATTCTTCCACTAACTTATTACCTACACATTTTTAGCCCTGCTTTTCTTTACCATATTGTTGAAATAAACTACTTTTCATTTTGATACTCCTTGCATCCTACTTACTCCTTTAATAGTCAACTCTCCCACATCAAGATTTGTATTTGTTGCCAGCATGCATGCTACAGCTTATTCCCTGACTACTCCAAGTATTAACTACTTATTTATTAAACAATCTCATTTTTCACACTGTTTTTCCTGTTTTGACAAAATTTACTATTTATGATTTTCTTTTAATTTTTTTTTACATATTTTTTCCTAGCAGTATTCTGGTTGAAAGAAATCAACACTGTGTGTTACAGTATATT